GGCTCCAGGGAAGTATGCTTTATCAGTGCCTCTTGTGTAAGAAAGCAGAGGGTTGTTCTCGCCAGCCTCCCACTTCACTCTGATCTTAAACTCCTCTCTTTCACTCATTTTGTGTTTAACTTGCTGTTGTTTCCATGATTCTTAGGGTGAAAGTCTTGGTCATTGTTTTGAGATATTTTTCCTAATATGGACATTTAGTCTTACAAAATTTTTTTTGGGTTTTGGTTTTTCTCTGGTACCGGGAACGGAACTCATGACCTTGCGCTTGCCAGGCAGGCACTTTTGCCGCTGAGCTAAATCCCCAGCCCCTTAGTCTTACAAAAATAACCCAAAGCATTATTTTAGTTTTCTGATCCTAGACCTCTTCAGTCTGACAGTTTGGGAAGGACATTGCTCCCTGTCTCATATGATTATTGGCAGCTGATTGTTCTATCACTGTCCTGACTTCACATGCGTGTATGCTCAGTACCTGCTTCCAATCCTAGAGTTCCTTCTTCATGCCTTTATTTTCTCTATTTCTGTACTCTGTAAATTCGGCCACTCTTGGTCTCTTTGAACACAATTCCACCTTCTCCACTGAGCAGATTCATCTCGTTTATATTCTGTCTACTGAGAACAACCGCCTTTGACTGCTTGAAGTCCAGCATCTTGAGAGCTGTTGTTCTACTATTTGTCTGGTTTTGTTGTTTCAAACAAGACAGTAAATCCAGTCTTTATTACTTTTTTTTAAACAGACATTTTTCCATATATCATCACATTAAAGTTTCAGTAAAGATGTTATGAGTCAGGTATTGCTTGTAATAATCATCCCCTTCAAAAAACACAGGAGGAAAATGAAACTTCAACCTAGCAATATTTAAGCCTGCAGGTTAATTCTTTTCAGGAGGTTTTCTGGATCTAAACCTAGTGCTTTTCATAATGTGGATGTCTACCTTGCAAAGGATTAAAAATGCTTCTCAGGTATTTCTTTTTGTTTATTTTAAATATATTTAACATCTTAGGTTCAAATTTTCATCTTTAGGAGTTTAGAAAAAACTCCTAAAGAGGCTCTCTTGTCAGGTTTGAGTATTTTTGAAGATGAATATTCATGTGGAAACTTGCATGCATCAAACATTTGTATGCATAATTTCTCTTATTTATTAAATTCTGGAATTCAAATAAGAGATGTACCTGGTTATTTCTCTCAGAACTTTCTATCTGGGGTCATGTTCTGGCTTTGTTTCACTTCCTTAAAGCTTGAAAATAATTTGTTTTCTGGCAATGGAAATGGTCAAAATATAAGTAACTCAATTATATTAGTCCAATATCATCACATAAAATTTATTTAGCTTAATTCTTTAGTTGCTTTAAAGACACAAGTTGATTTTTCCTCAGCAGTTGTCACTACATACAATAGAACAATGTAATCATATCTCTTCTTCAATATGTCATATCGATATTTTCTTACCACAAACTTTTCTAAAATATGCTGCTAATCAGCATCACACAAGAAGATGAACTCAGAGTCCAACAAAGAATGGTAAAGCTATCTTGAAGAAAGATATTTCAATTCCTTTGTAGCAGGGTGTCACTTTCAAATATATATACATTAAGTGTCTAAAATATGGTTAGAGAATAATTCCTAATAAACAAAAATTGAGGATAGTTTTATGCACACTGGGTTAATGTTCTTTGCAAATATAATCTTGAAACTTTTTCTGAAGGGCAAGGATGAGGAATTTCTAACCTAGTATTTTCTGTGGTAGTTTATTCTATTTATTTTTGGCCTGTATTGTACTACTTCTGTTGTCTAGCACCTCCTACCTAGGTAATTATTTCCTCTCAATGGACTGTTTTGATGTGTTTTTTTACTCTGAGAGATGCTCACGTGTTCTGAAGAATTTAAACATCACTAATGAATATTTTAAAAGGTAGAAATATAGGAGAACATAAAATTTTAATGAATAAATAAAGAAATGGCCCTTAACTTACTCAATCCCTAGAGAGACATATTAATCAAAAAGAATATGGATAATTCTAGATGAAATCTTTTTTTTTTTCTTTTTTGGTATGTTTGACACAGGGTCTCACTACGCAGTTCAGGCTGGCCTTGAGCTCACTTTGTAGTCCAGGTTGGTCTTGAATTCACAATGATCCTCCTGCCTGCGCCTCTTGAGTGCTGGGGATTACAGGCATGGGCCACCATGCCTGGCTTAGTTGAAATCTTATTATAAAATAAAGGGAAATACTTACCAAGTTAGAATAATCAATTTTTGAATACAGAAAATTCTTTAAATGTCAAAAATTTCATGCAAATAATATTTGTAATTTTAGTAACTATGACTTTGAAATTGCAGAAGCACTAAAGTATTATAATTTCAGTAATTTTTAACACTACATAATTTTTACCAATGACAGTTTGTACACACCAGAAATACAAGGGACAGTTTATTCCAGCGAAAAAGTCAATCATATAAGGACTGTAAACTCAGGCAGGAAATCTACAAGGACCCAGGGAGAGCTAGTTCACAGATGGGAAAGACCAGAAGGCATACTAATTTAACAACTCTTATCAAATGTTGGGGCTGGGGATATAGCTCAGTGGCACAGCGCCTGCCCAGCAAACTTAAGGTCCTGAGTTTGATTCCCAGTACCAAAAAAAAATATTTGCTATAGCTATAAAGAAATATGTGAGTTACTTCCCTCAAGAAAATTTTATTTATTGATTGACTTTAATTATTAGTATTTATGACAATTTCAAGGGGATTTAGGATATTCTTGGTCTTTAATTTTTATTAGTAGGTGCTTATAATACATAATAAATACATTCATTTTGGGGACTGGTACAGGTACATATCCTTCTCTACCATACCTTCCTCAGATATCCTTCAAATCTCTAAAAGTCTATCTCTCTGTTTCTTACTGTCTCTCTTTTATTTGTCCTTTAATTTACTTATATTTTGGGTTTCTCATATAAGAGAAACCATGTATTGTTATAGCCTTCTGTGTCTGATTAATTTTACCTAGAATTATTATCTCAAGATCCATTCTTTTTTCTGGAAATGACTCAAATTTATTTTTCTTCATGGTTGAATAGTATTCTATAGTGTGAATGTACATATGCCATATTTTCTTTATCCATTTATCTGTTGATGGGTTTACAGGTCACTTCCATAACTTAGCTGCTGTGAATTGTTCTGCTGTGGATGAGTTTGTATGTATCTCGGTAGTATGAAGACTTTAAATCTTTCAAGAAGATATCCAAAAGATGAACAGATGGATCAAATGAGATTTCTCGTTTACATTCCGCAACAATTTAAAAGAGTTTCTTTTACTCACAAACTTGCCAACATGTATTGGTTTATTTTTTGAGTCCTTGATTATAGCCATTCTTACTAGTATAATGTTTCCCAGAACTTAAGGAAAAGCAAGAAGTTTATTCCTCTGAGATTGAATAGAAATGTGAAAAGTATAAGATTAGACACAGAAATTGAAATTGTGAAGCATATGTGACAATCATGTTTGTTCTCACACTTTTTTTTCCTTTTTTTGTTTTTTTCTTTTTTTTTTTTTTTGCAGTACTGTGGATCGAACTCAGGACCTTGCGCTTGCCAGGCAGGTGCTTGTGCCACTGAGCTATATCCCCAGCCCCTTCACACATTTTTTTCTTGAAAATTAAGAAAAACAAAAATGCTTCCACATTGGAAGATCTTGAGATAAGGTATAGCAGGAAATGAAGAGGAAAAGCGGACTGACAGTTACACCATGCTCACGTGGAGTTCATTGGCTGTTTACCTTCCATTCTTGTATCCCTTTCCTCTCCAACTGCCCAGGTAAGAGCTCATACAGTTGACAAGTCTTTATTTTACCAAGCAGTGATATTGAAGAGCAATCATGAGTAACCATTTGCTATCTCCATCGTTATATAAAACAGTGAGAACATGGCATGGACATGACCTTGAGGAAAATGAACTCACTGTTTTCCTCATTTTGATGCTGATATGGGATAATGTGTCCATGGACTGGAAATCGTTCTTGGACCAAGATTATAATCACACTACCCCAATGTACTCTGGTGTTCCAGCACCTTGGATGAAGGCTTTCACCTTCAAATGAAACATTTCACTATCTTATAAAGCCATGTTCTCTCTTATTATACAATGTGGTACAAATTAATCTCAAAACTTTTATCAATTTTAACAAACTTTAACATCCATAAAAATTGGCATATATATCAATATTAGCTCCATCTATTTACTAGTGTTAAGACTATTTTGATGTGCTTCAATAATACTAGCCAGATCCTTTGTCTAATCCTTATTGTATCACTTACAATATCAAATTGCGATTTGTATTGGCATAGCTATCTCCCTTCCTAGACACTAAGCCTTTGAATGCGAGGACTAGTTTTACTGTTTTTCTTTTACCCTTACCGGTAATGCAATATTTGGTACACTGTGAACCCTGTTAAATGTGTGGACAAGTGAATGTGTAACTATGCTTTTATTGTTTCATGAAACATTCTAATTATACATAACAAAATACCTGATACTATTTTATGATTTATTAATAGCAGTAGGAATTGGATTTACCCTTTAACATTCTTTTATTCATTCTTTAGACATTTGTGAAACTCAGGCTATGCACTTCCACTGTGCTGAGTGCTTGAGATGATGGAGATGTGTAGAATGCAGTCTCCCTGCCTTCCAGGTTGCGAAGCATTGCTGTATTCTGGAGTTCATGTGATCTTTTTAGCACAGGGGGTTACAGAAATGTATCCAGTTTCTTGAATGATAAAAATAGAAATAATCTAATCATTTTAAATCTCACTAGAGTAAACACTTGCTCAGATATATTTGCTAGTGAGACTAAAGCCTGTTTATCACCATTAAGTGGTAATATTCACTCTATTTATGTAAGAGTCCTCTTCTCTGACAAATGACAGCCACTATCCCCTTGACACAGTTTGTGGAAATTGGAGCCCTAGCCTTCCCCGCTTTAAATGAAACAATAGATCTTACTATTGCAAGTCTTGTTGTATTTGCTGCTCTCCTGTGCAAACCCTTCCAGCCGACACTGGAAACGATGCTGCCAAAATTCTTGGAACCAAGGGTTCCGGAGGTTTGTTTCTGGCCGGAGCTTCAGATAATAATCATCAAACCACTTGACATCAGGAGACTGGAGCTTGATTGTGATTCCACCAACAGCTTCGCGCTGATACCCATCTGTTACATCGTACCTGTCAGCCCAGCCATCACTGCGGGAAACAAAGAAGCCTCAACTTAAAATAGAAATCTGAGTGAATGACTTCTTTTGATTTCTAGATTTGGCTCTGAAATACTAGCAATGCAGTGGCTACTTCAGGTCACATGGTGGTCCTGCATTACACCTTAAGGATTGTTAAGATATCAGCCTGCTAAAATTAAAAAGTAACACAATAGAAATTGTGAATCTCAGAGTGCTAAAAGAAGTCAACTTCACTTACCTTGAACTGCAAAGCATAATTTAGAGCTTTACCAGTTGTAAAATACCATATAACAGTGATGGTGAACCTTTTAGAGACCAAGTGTCCAAACTGCAATCCAAAACCCACTTACTTACCACCAAGTGTCAACACTGCAGTTAAACCTGAATGTAGAGGTTTTAGTTTAGAAAAAAGAAGTCACACTTGTTTGCTGACAGACAGCTCTGCGTGCCTGCTGTGGCACGTATGCATATAGGTGAGGATGTTGCCAGTCACACATTTTAGTGACTACTTGATAGCTAGATTAAGCTAATTTTGAATGTTCACTCCCTTTACTTTATAATAATCACCAAAATAGTCATACATAAGAATGGGAAACTATTTCCAAAATATGACCAACAATAATTTAGCTACCCTATGATATGATTTTTGTTCATATTACCCAAAAGAATTATACATAAATTTTTAAAATCATGCAGATAACAGTCATTCTATTAAATGTTAATATCGCAGAGCCTCAAAGTGAAGTTTTTGTAGTCCATGGTCCATTCTTTTATATATCATGGAAGTTCTCAAATACATTTTGAACCTGGATGTAATTGGTGTATATTTCTGATCCCAGGCGTGCAGGAGACTCAACCAGGAGGGCTGCGAGTTTGAGGTCTGCCTGGGCAACATAGTGAGAAGTTTTAAAATAAGAATTGCCAGGAAGGTAGCTCAGTGCCAAAGCACTTGGCTAGCATATAGGAGGCCCTGGTTTCATACATATGAGAAACCCAAAGTATAAATAATTTAAGAGCAAAATAATAGACAGATACTAATAAACAGGGGCAGGGGAGACAGGACAGAGAAGAAGGGAAAGGGAAGGGAAAGGGAAGTAAAAAGGACCAAGATGTGGTATGGATCTCTATGAATTTCCACAATTAATATATTTATTGTGTATAGCAAACTTATACTGTTACAAAGTGAAGAAGAGAAATGAGAGAATTCACATCATAATGATAGAATATAACAGAATAGTGACAAGTATTCTACTGTTCTAAGCTTTTTGGAAAATTCATGAAACACAAAATAAAAATAAAACACAAGAAACTGTTTAAACCAGTTGTAGTGGCACATGCCTATAATCTCAGCACTCTGGGAAGGTAAGATAGGAAAGTTTCAGGTTTGAACAAAGCCTGGGCAACTTAGTGATAGGGCAAGACCTGTGTCAAAATAAAACAGGTGATGAATGTAGCTCAGTGTGAAGGCTCTGGGTTCAACCCCCAGTACGGGAGATCGGGGTGGGGAGAGAGAGAGAGAGAGTTTCTGACTTGGTCCTCTGCCCTGCTTGGATGCATGTAGTTTGTTCTGTGTGTTTGTTGGAACCAAGTGGTGCTGTGTTCTGTAAGGAAATGAAAACTTTTGACCATTACAGAAAATAATACAAAAGAAATTTTAAGAGGATGGTGAGGGAACTAAGAGGGGGCACATGGTGTAGGTCTCACATTCAAATAGGAAAGTGTTTGAATTTAACAGAGGAGAGGGCAGTGCACACTAAGAAAAGACTGTGGGAAGTGGTTTACATTGTCAAGCAATGTTTGCTTCATTGATACGATCTTTTTAGTGACACTATTGTGCTTAAGTGTTCTGTTTTGTTTTGTTTTTTTCTGAAAGAGGGAGAATGATCCAGTATTTGGTGTATGTACCAGTATTGGGGAAAGCAATGTGTAAGTAATTAATTAAAATAACACAAACTTAAAAATCACATGGCTTCTCTTATATGAGAACCCCAAAGCATAAATAAATTATACAGCCAAATGAAAGACAGGAACAGAGATCATTTGCAAAGAGGAGGGTCAAGAAATGGGATCAGGGAGAAGAGGAGGGGAAGCAGATAGGAAAATAATCAAATTGTGCTGTGTACATGTACCAACTCCTCATGAAAGTAATTATTGTGTACTAATAAAAATGCACAAAATGAAAAATAACACAAAATGTATTTTTTAGTGTGCCTTGATACACCAGCTCTTATTGAACACTAGAAGTTGTTCCAATGGTCATAGATTCCTTTTGAAGGTATTATAAATGTTGGGGATAACTTGACATATTTTCTAAGGTGTCTGTGTGCTGGAGAAAAAAATAAACAAACCAAATGAAGCATTTCTTCCTCTAAGTCTCCTTGACAAGAGAACTCATTAAAAGTTACCAATGGTGAAATTTTAAAAACTTTGTGGCAAGATCAAGACAGAAATAAAAAGTCAAAGTCATGCAATATGTTTGTCCCAGTGTTGAATTTGATTACTTCACACATTATCTTCTCTCAAGTTTTTCCTTTTCAAGTACAGAAGATTTTGTTTGAATGTGACAAGCTGAAATGAAGTGCGTTTTCTTGCCTCGTTCTCTCCCTCTGCTGTGCAAGGTTGATTGTGTCACCGAAAGGAGAGTGTGGGTCTCACTGGCACTCCAGGAGATGCATGGGCGTGCTGCAAATAGGGCAGGAAGCTCTGTGTGTCGAGCGGAGCACCGTTCTCCAAGAATGGGAATCAAATTGTTCCTTTTGTTCACATTAGCTCACTCTTATGTAATGCTGTGATTATGAATATTACATAAGAAATGTAAGATTATAATAGGTTCAATTTACCCTTCACAATTCATTCATTGAATTTCCTGGGGATTGTAACAAGCTTGTCTTCATAAACTTTCTTGCAGGGAATATATCCATAAAAGTGTCAGGACCAAAGACTGTTAATTTACTCATCTACCATCACATTTTTCTCTGTCTTCATTTTTTTCCAGTTATAAATTCTTCAGTTCAAGAAATTATAAAAGACTATGTTGTATCATTAGTATTATAATTTCAGGTTGTAAGTTTAAAATTATCTGTGTTCCAGATAGTTCCAGTCAAAAGCAAAATAAAAATTATAAAGGAGTTAGTGTAGAAATGGAAAATCTCAATCTTCATGTGACAAAAGTGTCATTTGATTTAAATATAATGAGAATATCTTCTAGAGAAGTCCAGAGAAAAGTCATGTGATGCTGGCTAAGTTAAAGGTGCTATATTGCCTTTAATGATGAGTTATTAATGTTTTTATAAACATGTGCTTTTAAGATCTGTTGAAGATGGTCAGGCATCTCTAAATAAAGCGTAATGAATCCAAAGGTAAAATGAATTGCCAAGAAAAACTTTAATTTGTTTTTCTACCACCTATTGCTTTTCATTAGTTTGACAGAGTGGCCCTTCAATGTCTTGACATGACTTTAATGCTTTGGGTGACATGTATTTTACCAAAGTGAAGCAAAATAGGAAGATAAGAAAATATTTATTCAAATCTTACAACATTTAAGGCATTTGTTCTAGCTTTATCATCTATCCATCTATCCATCCAAATTTTCCCTCCTCTAGCTAGCAAACATTTTATCCATTGTCTTGTAGTATACTTTACTGCTTTTTTTCCCATTTTTTGACAATTTATGGATTCTGTGTTTGAAAATTCAGGACTGAGGATATTACATCAGTAGAAAAATTGTCTAGGAAAAGTGATGTTAAAGTGTGTATAATGGGTGATACATTGTGTCACCTTGAGAAGTTTAGAAGTTTAACAGGCAACTCAGTAAGGGGCCAGGGTTCTCGGTTGTAAACATCCTCATCCCGTGAAACAGGAGGGCAGGAAAATGGTGTGACTGCTGGGAGAGGGTGGTTAGCCTGCATATAATAGGAGAGCAAAAGAGGCTTGTTCTCTCTCATTCCTTGTTTTTGCTTTTGCTGCTTTTGCTGTCTTCTCCTGCCTTGAACTGTTGCCCCTCATCATACCACCCTGCCTTGGCGCCAGCTGATTATGGACTGTGTCATGGTTTATGTCTGCATGTCTCCCCAAATCCTCATGCAGTCATGGGGTGGGCTTTTAGAGTTTTGATTGGGTGTGAGTGCTACACTGCCCTTGGGCAGATAGCTTGCATATGTAAGGGAAAGAGGCTTGCTCTTGCCGCTCTTACATTTTGTTCTTGTTGCTTTGTGCATTCTGCAGCCAAGAAAGTTTGCCCTCTGCCATGTGCCACCCTGTCTGGGAAGGAGCCAAGTATGGACTGAAACCTCCGTAAACTGTAAACTAAATAAACCTTTCCTTCCTTAATTCTAGGCATCAGATATTTTGTCTCAGCAATAAAAGAAAAGTAACCAAGATAGACTGAAACTTCCACACACTGTGAGCTAAATAAACTTTTCTTTCCTTCCTTAATTTTGGGCATCAGGTATTTTGTCTCAGCAATGAGGGAAAAGTAACCAACACGTGTGTTTTAACTAAAGAAAAAATGTTATACATATGTATGCATGCTCAGAACACCCTTCCAAGAGATACTTAGATTCCTTAAATGTCCTCTGAATGTATCTTGCCCATTTGGCAAGAGTCAACTTTTATTTTCATCCCAATATTATATTATCAAAAATATATACTTCTGCTGTACAGTCTATCCTTCCACTTTCTCTTTTCAATCTTATTTCCCCTTATGTTTCAAAATTAACAACTTGTGAAAATTGTGATTTTTTTCAACAGAATATTTTTATTTAAAACAAAATTGACTCAAATTATCCAGCTAAAATTTGTTTTTTATATCTCTATAGCCTGCTTTCTTTTTTAGCAGTTATTAAACAGCATCTCTCTTAGTAAATATTTTACAAACAAACACTTCCAGTAGCTCCACAGTGTAGAACACGGGTTACTTCTTGCTCAGCCTTTATGCTCACTGCAGGTGGCCCATGACTGCTCTAGGCCATGTTCATTTTGAGATGAAGTGTGAAGAAGCAATCTCCCTTT